TTTCCTGCTATTTTCCTACCAATTTCTCTCAAATTTTCATGATCTTCATTGGATCTCCCCAAAAATGCTATTTGACAAAACAATAACCAACTTTCTTCTTCAGACAACTGCTCCACTGGGAACAAGGTAGTGCAACCCATTGTTCTTGCTACAGTCTCCTTACGTGTGGTCACTAAGATTTTGCTTCCTACTGAGCCAGAACTCAACGAGTCTCTCAATAGACCCCACCTTTCATATTGTTCAGACCACACATCATCTAGGACAAGTAGGAATTTCTTATCCTTGATTGAGTCTCTAAGGAGTTTTAATACATCTTCTAATTCAACCAACTTTTGCACAGCATCCTCCTTACCAAGAGATGTAAGAATTGCTTTGGCAATCCTCATCACATCAAAAGGATCAGAGACACACACCCATATCCTTTTCTCAAAATGAGATTCTACTTTCTCATTATTGAAGGCTACTTTGGCAAGAGTAGTTTTACCAATCCCCCCAACACCTACTATAGGGATCACGTAAATTCCACCCTCATTCAACAATATATCTACAATCCTCTCCTTATCCTTAACTCTACCACACACCTCTGCTAAATTTACGAGGGAAGTAGTTTGCTCTCGTCTAATTGGTTTTTCAACACTTAACTCCTTAAGACCATACCTTTCTCTCTCATTTGCTATAACATCCAACCTCCCATTCAACTTTGATATCTTGTGCGCAGTTTTAAGAAGCAATTTCCCTCTGTTGAAACAGAATGAAGGAGAGGGGATGAAAGAGCATACCTTCTTCTTCTCAAGTTTTGACTTGAAAATTGCAGTGCTCCACTCATCCAGCACATTTTCAATGTCATATGAGACTTCCTTGAGCTTGTTTAACCAATCTCGAACACTGGCCTTTCCCTTCTCCAGTTGCTGCCGCTCCGCATCCTCCAAAACAGCTTTGATGGCTTGAAAATTGCTGGCGAGCTTTTCCAGATCACCACAAACATTGATAATGCGACTCACCTCCTCCTTTAATACTGAACTCAACTCTTCCAGCACCCTGGAAACAATTGCTTCAGCCATGATAGAGATGAAGAAAACAATAGAAGGAAAAAGGGAAAGAAGTATGCTTAATTGTTTGCTCAAGGAGTTACATGGCTTATGAGATGCTTTATAGAGAACGATGGCCAAAACTCAATTTTGGTTTGTTTCTTTGCGTGGAATGATGGCAAACAAGGGAAGGCAATAGAAGGGGAAAAGAAAGAAGTATATATGCTTGCTGTTTGATAGAGTAGAATGGCTTGTACGAGGAGATTATTCCATTTCCACTTTTATAGAAGATGATGGCCAAAACTCAATTCTGATTCCGTGCACAGTACCATATTCTTTGAGTGGAATAAAGGCCCAAAAAAAGAGGAAGAGAATAGAAGAAAAATAACAGAGAAGTATGCTTAATTTGATTGTGTGGTATGCCAACTTATCAGATTCTTTGCTTGGAATAATGAAAAAAAAAAGGTTCTTGATTTTGCAGTCCAAAGACAGCCCCACATTGAAGACTGGATTACACAACACCTGAAAGAGAGAGAGAGAGAGAGAGAACAGTAGAAAGAAAACGACAAAAAGACAGAAGTGGCTTACTCATATTGCCAATAAAGATAGCTATTAACTAACTACAAAATGACTAATGATAGAACTTAAGGATATAAACTTTTGAAGAGTTCAGGAAGCTGTCTTTGTAGAGATTACCAATTTTTATGGGGTAATGAACTAATGATATCAACATTGCTGAAATAATATACCACCTTGTTTTTGTGAAGCAACCAATCTCTAGATGATTCTCAGTGCCTCGCAAAATCTAATCCCAATTATGTAATCAGAGTATTGCCGCTGCCAACTTCCTTTCCCCCAACGAAACAAGCAATTTGTGATCCTGCACATCTCAGTATATCAGCAATAAGCCAATGACGCCTTGACTGCATTGTATGCCACAACAGCCATTGCATCTAAGGCAACTCATAAGTTTGAACTAAGACAAAGCTTTTTTTATTGCAAAAGCAGAAGTTCTCATAGGATAGAATAATACAAAGAGTACCTGTACAACAGACTGTGCACAAAGCTTCCCTGAAAGAACAGCACCTTCCATTGAGGCCAAATACTTTTGCTTTGTGTAGTCACCTGCTAGATAGAACCCCTCTACAGGAGATCTTTGCATAGGACGCCATGGTTCACAATTTGGGGTGATTTTGTATGCAGACCTAACAAAATTTAGGAGTTATGTCAAGTAAGTGAACTAGAAACATAATAAAAGTTAAGGCTTGGTGCTGTACAATAAGGATCATTAATAATATTTATACAAATGCACATCTACAAATAGAAAATAATGAGTTATTGCCACAATTACAATGTTTATGCACTACCATGAGTATATAGACAAAAAACTCTAACCATCCAGCAGCAATTATAATTTAATAAAATTCATTTAACATTTTCTGAATAACTGACTTTTTAGTTTTGAGTCTAACCTTGGTGCCTTAACAACCTGATACTTTAAGATATTTGCTTTGCTCTGATCTGCAGAGATTTCATCTGGAAAAAGTTTAGCAAGTTTCTTAATTGCAGCATCAATAATTTCAGAGTCACTTCTTGAAATCCATTCTTCTGCAGGGGCAAAAACCAACTCCAACATGGATTGGTTTGGGTTATAGTATTCCTGCATAAAACATTAGAACATTAAGTAAGAGAAAACATAGATAAAAAAGCCTTGTTAATCACAACAAATGTTATGTTGTTTTGTTCGTACTTGCAAGTAAGAAGGAAGAAATTCATATCAAAATCCCATAATCTTGTCAGGAAAGAGTAGAAATATTTAACTTGTGTTTAAGTCCATAGTGCTCTATTAATAATTGAACATCACAAAAAACATTTTGCACTAATCAATAATCATACACAAGGAGTTGCAAACATCCATCATGCAGAGAAATATCAGGAACCTGCTGGCTTAAAGAAACATAAGTTGAGGTAGAACAACGAAATAGATAGCCATCAATGACAATGTTGACCTTACATGTCACAGACATGTCAGCATACACACTTAGAAGGGGACTTCTGCAAGAAAAAAAGGAAGAGGGTTAATAAGAAAATGGGGAAATAATTAGGTGAACAAGTTCAATCCAAATTAAATAGTGCAAATGTGAATTTTCAGTCCAATGACTGTGCCTGACAAAAGGTCTGGTCAATTTAACACCGAAATCATGGTAATGATGGGATTATTTCAGTTTCTGGATATATGGAAATGCATAACCAGAATTTCATTAACATACCTTGAGGTGACATTCGAATTTTATTATATTAAATTATTGACAGATGAGAAATTAGTGTGCTTACCTATGGCAGAGGTTTGAAGTATGACCTAAACCCCAAAATTAATGTTTCCAGTAAGGTCTACCATCTTGTTGGTTTTTAATTAAATTAAGTTCTATTGACAAAAAATGTTACAGAAAATAGAAGCTTCATCGTACGCCTAGCAAAGTACAACCTGCTGAAGAGTAAGTGATAATATGTGTTCTTCAGTTTTCTGTCAAACCTGCATATGAAGATAATCTGTGTCAGTCAACCACTAGAATCACATCTGAATCATTAGCAGCGAGTCTTTAACAAATCAGAAGCATAATCTCGAACCAAATAACCTACCAATAGATATCATGATATATTTGCTGATATGCTAAAATAAAAGAAGAATAAAAAGGAAGAACAAGGGAGAAAGCAGAGGAATAGAAGTGCAAAACCATGGAAAAATAATAGAGGAAAATCAATTCTTCATAACTCTTCAACCTGGCTTAGCATTTATATATAACCAAAACCCTGATTCCAACATAAGCACTCTCTGACAAAATTACATAATTACTTCAAATTAGTTCTAATAGAAATAGAAAATTAAAAATAAGCGGATATACTAAATAACATAATCCAATAATAGATCCTACAATTATATCAAAGCGGCAAATAACCCAAAAAATCAAAATTCCTAAATAATCCCATCTAGCATACTAATTTCTTAAGGGATTTCCTTTGACCTCAATATCTTGCCAATTCTCCAAACAGGGGACGTGAGGTGATAGTAAATGGCCCATTAGAGTCCCAATATGCAACTAACATTCTCTCCTTGACGTAAACATGGGGTCATAATATAAATGCCAAGCATCACCTATCATCAACAATTCAAATTTTGTTCACTCACAGGTTGTGTGCATGTGTATCTTAGTTTCTGAATTATAATCTGGACATAAGGTTCAACATTTTCACACATACTCTTCCATACGTCACACAAGCATTCACATTTTGAAGACAGTCTCAAGAGTGGAATTGCAGTTGGACAGATATGAAGGATATAATATATTGTTAATCAATAGCAATGATGTTAAAACACTCAAGTCCAAAATAGATGCAAAAAAGTTCCATTAAACACAAGAAGGGTGAGCGGGGGAAGGTAGAGAGATAGAGACACACACAAAGAGAGAATTATAACTAACCATATGTGAACATTAATGACTGGGACTCCAATTAATTTCTCCAATCTCTTGAAGTACGGAATCTCTCTCCAACTTTCAGGCAAAAGAAGCTTCAGGATGTCAACTGATTGGAACACAATCCATGAACCATTATCGGTGAACCTGCTTGTAATTAACAATAAAAAAAGCAACAAGAAGAACACAAAGAATTATATAGTATAATAGAAAACATTTAGCATACCTGGAGTAGCAAACACATAAGCATCTCCTTCAATCACATCACCACCACTTAGTACAAAGCTCTTTAGAGTCCCATCATCATTAAGCTCCATTTTCTTTATTGGCGAATTAAGTCAGACTTCACCACCAAGTGACTTAATATGATTAACAATAGGCATGCAGCGCCTCTCTGGTGGATTGCCATCTAAGAATGCCATCTTTAAGCCATGCTTCTCCTGCACATTAAGTTTTATTAATTCTGAAAAAGCTAGCATTATACTCTAAATAAATAAAATGGCATGGATTTTATACACCATAAATAATAAAAATAACAAACAATTAAATAACAGCTCTCGAACAAAATTTTACCATAGGTAAAAGTGGAAGGATTGCAATACCTGAAGAAATCTGTTCAAAGCAATCAGTATGCACTGCATTGCAAGTTCATCTGGGTTAATGAAGTTTAGAGCCTTTGACATGGCAATAAACACCTGATCAGTCACTAGATCAGGCATGCCCTAACAAGGAAAAATGTAAAATTAGTTAGTTTCCTGTACTTATAACTATCTGCAATTTCTTTTTTATTTTCATTTTTTTAATAAAGGAACCGCACAAGATTCATTATGATTAAACTCAATAGATATGCAATATCAAATGAGATGACCTCAGTTCATAACTCACCAGCTACAAAGCTGGTACTCATTAGGTTTCTTTTTTTTTAGGCTAATGGCACCATGATATTCTATCTACTCAGCTACCAAGCTGGTAACCATTAGGTTGGTTTGTTTGGCTAATGACACCATGATATTCTATCTACTTGGTTTCCCCTTGCAAACAGATTTTGATAAATGTAACCATTATATTATACCTGATTCCTCATCCACTGTGTAACACTTAAACCATCTTGAGCCTCAACATAAGCCTGCCCACCAATCATTGCTGGCAGGAGCCCAATTGCAAATTTCACTTTCTCTGGCCAAGTCAGCATTTCATTATTCTTCAATATGGCCCATATTCCTGTTGATCACATCAACCACATACGTAAAAGCAAGTCATGTCCAAATGTGATTTGCAACTTTATAGATGTTAATATTGACTCATACTTTAATTATAATACTTATTAGTTTCTTACCATTGAAAGGTGCTGGTAGAACTTCTGGGAAATCAAACCAGCTGAACTCTCCTGGTTTATTCGGCATTGCAAATATCATAGAATGCTATTTCCACTGCAGGCGATCATTGACACCAAGTTCTCCAAACAGGTTCTGAATATTTGGGTAAGCACCAACTTCCAAAAGGAAAAGGGAAACAACATAACTTGAATATTTCGAGCAACAAAAAGAAAAACTATTTTTGACAAGCAGCAGATAGTTCAGAAGATAAAAATAGTGTGGCTATGAACAAAGCAATAAAATTTTGAATAGTACGACACCTAGATTTCTTTATGACCTATCTATGTAGAAGTCCCAAGAGAAAACTAAGGTGAACAATAGCACTAAAGTAAAATAAGCAGCACATAAAGTAAGGGGATTTAAACAAATTATATCAGTAAGTATTGAATTAGAAATGCAAATAGGCCACAACTTCACCACTGTTCAATAAAGAGGAAAAAGAAAAATAAGAAGTATGTAAACTCACAAAATATATGTGGCCCTGTCTCATACCAATCTCCATCATCATCTTTCCATGCAGCCACCTATAAGAAACAAGGCCAAATCTTTACATTGCAAGCACAAAAGAAAAAAAAAAATCACAAATATAGGTGACACCATGTCATACAGGGTTAAACTATTGACCATTGTCCTTTCAAAATCATTTTAATTGCCTAACCATAACTGCAGCAATTAACTTAGCAATGTGATATGTGATGGAAATCTAAATAAGTGCCAGTAACAGATCAAGAAAATCCAAGACTTGATTTGAATTTGTATGATGACATAGGGTCAAAAGAACTCCAATATCTATTCACACTAGGGCATGCTGCACGAAAATTTGCTCTTGTTTACAAAAGACGAAGTAAAAAATTTCTCTCCAAATAATTAACAACTAACTTTTTCTAAGTTTTAAAAGTAGAATGCAAGAAATTTCAAATTATGGATTTTACAGAAGAAAAGAAAGCACAAAAATCTTTCCACCTAGAGCATCTCTTGCTTCCAGCAACAGAGGCTCGTGACCTGCATCTGCCAAATATTTTGCAGTGGACAAACCAACTAAAGCTGAAATTAAAAATTTTAAAACTAACATTAGAATAGTTAGAATTGGAGTGAGAAAATTAACTAAAGGAGCAGAGTTTGACAAGAGATAAGAAAAAGGACATAGCAGAGACCTGCCCCAGCAATTACAACTTTGAGTGGCTTTGCCGGTAGAGGGGAAGCACGGAAAGATGAAGATAGAGTAGTAGCTTCCAAGAAATTAACAGTGTTGTCAAGCTCTGGTCTTGGGTAATCCATACACACTACCTAAATCATTGGAGCAGATGAAGCGATTATTTTAGTCAGGAAAAGAAGGGAAGGTAAGTGGATGCAAAAACCAACCTGCAAAGGACCACGGGCGACGTTCCTCCCATTCGTGCTTTTGCTTGCTTGTAAAAATGAAAATTTCAAACTCTGTTGTCCTGCGGGCATGGGAATTGAGTTGGTTTGGCAGGTGAAGTCTGCCGCAGAAACACTCCCGCCGCACAGGCTCATTTCTTGAAACCCAGTTGTGAGATCGGCAAACAGAGGATGGAGGAAGTTAATTTTGAAAGAGGTGAGTGCGGTGGCCGGTGGTGGTGCTGGTGCTGGTGCTGGTGCTGGTGGAAGTGGGAGGTGGTGATAACAGATAACACAAGCATGCGCAATGCAAAATGGGTGACGTTTCGCGTATACAAAAATGAGCCAAATTTATTTTTTCCCGTATACAAAAATGCGTTTCCCTCTTAAAACTTTTATACTGGAAATTCGTAATTACAACATAATTTTTACTGGTAAACTTTTAAATTTAATAATTTTGTTTAGGTAGAATTTATGATTCCAAACTCCTGCAAAAGCTCTTCACTAAAAAACCATTTCTTCATGCTTAAAGATAATCATTCAGACAGGCTCTAACAAACAAATTCCGAGAAAAGAGGATATTCTTGCATGGAGCAGTGGGGAATTACCGTCCAACAATGACCATGCACCATGGTTCCCTCTTGTCACCCAAATGCTGTATTTTGATGCCCCATTGTCTTTATGCTTTTTTTTTTTTTTTTTTCAGTGGGAAATTGGGGGATAAGGGAGTAGGTATAATATTGTTGCAGCAGTGGCAACTAAAATCCTTAACATAGATGCCAAGGGGATGATGCACTTCCAACGCAGCCGAAGCCGCAAGTGCGTCTTTATGCTATTTTGCTCATAGATCACACAAAATATCTAATTTTTCACTCTCTTGGTTTGGCTGATTTTTCTTAAATAGCTCATTAGAGTATTTAAAAACATTAACTTTATATCTTATATGATAATTTCAAACTATAAAATAATAAATTAGTTAATAGCTACAATTATGAATTATTTTTAACAACCAATTTAAACAAAGCCTTGAACAGTTTTGTGTAAACTAGTGGGAAAAAAAAAATTTCTCGAGCTCTCCTCGACGGTAAAACCCATGCAGCTTCTACTTGAGGAATTTTCCACTAGACCAAATCCATATATGTTCGGCCTTAAGAAACAAGCCTGGGAGTTCTCAGTTCCGTATACCTTTTTGGGACTTTTATGTTTGTTATCAACGGTTACATTCCTTTCCTTCAAAGGCTATAACTCCAAAATGGGGATGACATGTTTCCTTTCCTCCGCCTTCAGACAAGATCATTGCATGTTTGGGAGCGGTACAAATGTATGTCGGATGGACTATGCAATCTCTCCCTAGACGGCAATCTCCAGTATACTGGATGGATCAAGCACTCTTTTTCTATCTCAGATCCTCAATCCAACTGGATCCTGGAATTTTCTTTACATCACTGGTCTCCATTAGCTCTCTTAAATCTCCAACGCCAAGCCAATTGTTCAAGCCAGCAAACATGTTTGATAGCAACACATAACTTGAAGGGTGCTTTTTATCCAAATTCATTGCACGCTCTGCAGCTCGTTTCCCAGTTTGAATATCCTCATGAAGTTGACAAGCACCAAGCAGGGTTTGCCAAACCAGCATGCCAGGTTTAAATGGCATTGCCAATATTAGCTCCTCTGCTTCTTTAATGAGCCCACCTCGGCCAAGTAGATTTACCATGCATGCATAATGATCTTCTCCAGGGAAAATTCCATGGTCATTGCTCATGGAGAAGAAATATTTCCATCCCTCATCAATAAACCCTCCTTGGCTGCATGCATAAAGCAAACAAATGAAGGTGACATAATTTGGTTCTATCCCCTCTAGTATCATCTCATCAAAAATCTTGAGAGCTTTCCTTGCTTGCCCATTCTGTGCACAACCCATTATCATTGTTGTCCATGAAACAATAGAACGATCATTCATCAATTGGAAAACAGTCCACGCAGCATCCATTGATCCACATTTTGCATACATATCAAGTAGTGCATTATCCACACAGACATCAATTTCGGTCCCAAGTTTAATTCTCAAGCCATGGAGTTTCTTCCCTTCCTCCCATGAAGATAGAATGGCACAGGCATTAAAGGCAGTTGCTAGGGTAAACCTATTGGGTTTTACACCCGTCTTTCTCATCTCTGCAATGACCTCCAATGCAATTCCTGGTTCCCCACACTGCAGGCAGCCAACGGCCATTTGTGCCCAAGAGGACACATCTCTTTGAGGCATTTCCTGGAAAGCTCTGAAACCATCTGCCAGTCTCTGATTCTTCATGTACATATCCACCAAAGAATTCCCAACGCAATTCTCATCCCCATGGCCAGATTTAACCAGTTGCGCATGCACTTGCAAACCCAAGTTGAGATCAGAAAGAGCAGCCAAGCCAGTAAGAACAGTAGCAAACGTGAAGCCATCAGGCTTCACTGCTTCACAATTCATGCGAAGCCAAAACCCTGGCACACTGAAGTAACAATGCTGCAAACAGCCAGCTATCACAGCATTCCAAGACACAATATCCTTGTCGGTACTCCACTCAAATACCTCTAAAGCCTCCACCAATTTACCATGCCTTATCAAGGCTGTCAAAAATGCATTCATCAAGAACATATTTGATTCAAATCCTAAGCGAACAACGAGCCCGTAAACTTGATAGCTGAGAGCCAAATCCTGATGCAACGAGCATGCATGAAGCGCACTAACCAACGTGAACTCATTAGGTTTCACCATTCCATCACGAACCATACGGCAGAACAAAGCAAGAGCTTCATTATGAAATCC